GGGTTTTTTTTTTTTTTTTTTTTTTTTTTTTGGGCAATGACTTTCCTCCAGTAACCAAGTGAAATGTTATCTTGACAGTTAATTAACCCACAATTTGAATTTAAAATGTATTTAATTTTACATTGACCATGTGGACCACGTACAAACAGTTTACATTTCTTTCATCCCGTTAATCTTGTATTTGATTGTATATTTGTATTGAATTTGAGAAGGTGTTCATTATTTGTCCTGTCCTGCAATTAGACATATGTAAGTGCCCGAAAGAGAAAAAAGTTGAAAATTTGATATGAATTTTCTTTTGAATACTAGTGCTTGAAACTGAAGAATTGTCAGAATTATTGTTATTTCATTGAAAGTACACAATTCTTTCCCTGTATTGCAGTTTTAATTATGAGTAAAAATACACATATTCAGGTTCTTTTACTTCCTATTTTGTTAGTATAGAAATAGGTTTAAAAAGGTTATTTTGAATTTACATTAGGTTATTTTCTAGACTTTTTAATTTTCTAATTAGTGATTTTATTTTTGCTTGTATATTATGCCCTTATATATTATTTATTTTCGTGATGTGCAACTTGTTGATTATTTTTGGGTTAGCTACATTGTTGATCAAAGAAATAGACTTTGATATGGATTGATTATTTTAACACATTCATGTACCAGCGTTGGCAACTCTTAGCTTCTGCAAATCTTTTCATTCACATCCTAACCTAAGTTAAAGAAAGTCACACAACCCAAACTCAGAATATTGTTCTTCTCATATTATATATACTAAGTTACTAATTCTTTTCTTTTCTGCAGCTTCAGTTTCCTTAGTAGCGACAGATGAACTATAGATCACAAAATAATTTCACTTTGCAATTATCAGAAAAAAGATACATCTCCGTTCTATGAAAATTAGACCAAAAATCACCTTACTTTAACAGAAATATCATAAAAAATAGATCACAAGCATATAAAGAAGAGAATTATCACAAAAGTCACCTGGCTTTAACCATTCAATTGATCAATCAAGGAAGAAATCGATAGATCACAAACATATACACAACACTTGCACGATATCAATGAAAAAAGTAGTAAATTATAATTTAAGTCGATTAAACACAAATTTTATCCTCACATATTGTGGATCCAAAACTTATTGGAAAATTCTACTTGTATATACTTACTGCACATAATGGTATCTGTAATGTAATATGACAATCATTCAGTTGTTAATGTGCAAGTGTGAGATTTGAATTAAAGGTTGGACCCAGTGCCACGTGTAATTATGGACACCATTATATAGACAATTATATATATGTAGCATTTCCCAAACTTATTACCGAGACACACTTTTTGTATATTATTATTATTATTAGTATACACTACACTTTGTGACAAAATAATGTTATACATTCAGCCACCTAATTTCACTACCACCCAACCACAGCAACCAGATGGACGTCAAGTGGTTGATATTATCCCTCCCGGACCAGAACTTCTTGTTTCA